GGAACAGAAAGGCTCTTAAGGCCCCAGCTTGGCCAAGTATTGGCCTAATGCTGTCACTGCCTTGGTTGTCACCCCTGGGAGGGCTCTGGAGCCGGGGATGCCAAAAGCTGTCAAGTGCCCAGGGATGTTCTGGGTGTTGTGGGTGAGGATTCGGCTCTGCTCGAGGGAAGCCAGAACAGCTGCTAAAGAGGTTTTATCAAGTCAAGGTGGTTTGGACTAATCCCTCCTCACAGCATTTCCTGAGATGCTTTGTGTTTCCAGGGATGTTTTTTTTGTTTCTCTCAGCCTTCAATATCAACAAGGCTGGGGGGATGGCAGGGGGACAGCAAGGCCTTAAGGGAGGAATTGTGGCCTGGGTGGGTTTTTGCCTTCCCCTTGGGCAGGTGCCTGTTCTGGCAGGAGCAGCAGAGGGTTCTCCTGTCTGGCTCAAGACCCGTGCCCAGCCTGGGTCCAGACTGCTGGAACAGCCACAGCTCAGGAACAGCCACAGGTGCTCTCACATCCCGACTCATTTCCACGCAGCCAGCCTGTCTCCCCCTGCTCCTGGAGGAGCTCATTACGGTGATGTTAATGAGGCAGAGATGCTGATGCTGCCCAGGGTTTTAATGACTCTCCTCCAAGCTTTCTGCCTTTACTGGAGAGGCAGAAGGGTGGTTTGGAAGGAGGGGCCGTGGTGGGGGCTGCCAGACCCCCCTGAGCGTGTGACGGGTGCTGGAAGGGAAGGTGGTGGAGCCAGGTCAGGGCTGAAATGCTACTGGGGAGCAGATCCCAGGGATCCGTTTGGAGAGACAGGTAAGACACATTCGTGTGTGCATGTGGCATGTGCCAGGGTGCTCTAAAAGCTGGAAATGACTGAGTAGAGGTGCTGGGGCACTTATGTAAAATATCTAAATAAATCTTTAATATTTCTAATTGCAAATGTACATAAATTGCACAGCCACATCATTTCTTTGAACACCAACAACTTTCTCTGTACATTATTACATAGTTTAAAAGGAGCTGAAGGAGATTCAGCAAACACTTCCACTTTGCTTTTTTTTTTTTTAAACATACTTACAAAAAAAAATTTTTTCTTTATAAGAGGATATAAAACATAGCGACTGCTTATCAGGAACAAGTATCAGCCTAAGCAGATATACAGAGAGAGGTATATCTTAAGACACAGTGATGTATGATAAAGGAATACGTGAAGATGGAGGCTGCACTCTGGGGTACTGGTAGCTGATGCAGAGCCACATGGCATTTACAGCAATGTCACAGCTCAGGTGATCTGTAAAACTCAATGCTTGAACGTGACACCCTTTTCCCAAGCGTGGTTGTTTCTGGATGTTGTGCAGTGCCCTCAGGACTGCACTGGTTTGTGAGGCCCGTGAGCTGCACGTTCTGGCGCTGCCGTCCCGCTCCCCCAGGTGGGACTGTCCCCACGGGAAAGGCAAAAGTTTGTCAGGGCAGGGTGGGGGCTGCCCTTCTGTGGCTGAGCATCCTCTGAACTGCCCTGGGGAGTCAGGACCTGCTGGGAGATGGGCAGGGAGATGGGCAGCGTCCCCTCCTGTGGCCACCCAAGGGAGCTCCTGGTGGCTCTGAGCCACGCAGGTGCCAGGCTGGAGGCCTGGATTGCTTTGAACACAAACCTTTGGCAGGAGGTGACCCCGACAGTCACTGTGGGGGAAGGACAGAGTGCCTGCCTGGGGACAGTCACAGTTGTTCCCTTGGCACTGCCCAGGCAGAGCTGTGAGTGAAGGACAGGGCAGGGACCTCGGGGGGCTGCTGGACACACACAGCTGCTCACAGGCTGCTCTCAGGCATCACCCCAGGCCACTCTCCCTGCCCTGGGATCTCTGGGGAAAATGAGCCCCTTGCACATCAGATCCTGGCCCACAGCCCGTGGCTGTCCTGGCTGAACACATCAGTGGATCTGCCAATCCTGTGACAAAATCCCCTCCTTGTCCATCACAGAACAGGCCTCAGTGTGTTTTCTATTGCATCTGGAACGGACATTAGGGACAGGGGAAATCCTATGAGCTATCTAAACTTTGGGAATGATTGACTCCTTGCTGATTGCTTTCCTAGAAGAGCCTGTGACACCTCACGTAGGTCCAGCAAGTCCCTTTGCCCTTTAGGAGTATTCATAGTTGCAGAACCCCTGTCCTGCACCCTGCAGCAACCTATGGGGCTCCCAGGCCAGAGGGTTCCCCGTGTGTTCTCACAGTGCAATCAGTGCTTTACAGCTGCAAAAGCAGAAAACAAAACCAACCAGACTCAAATGACAACGTGGAGCGACGCGGGACTCTTTGGATGGCGGCAGGATTTGCTTGGACTGGTGCAAAAGGGGCTGGTGACTACACTGTAGTATTGGTTGGCATGGGGAAGGACTTGGGTCCCTCCCATCTTTTGGCACTGAAGCCACAATCCCTGTCCAAAAGGAAGATACTTACAGTCTGCAGAGACCGTGGGATTCTGGTCAGTCCATTTCGTCCCCTCTACACAAACCCGCTCGGTTTTCAGGAGCCTTCACTACAGTTTAACAAAACCCCCCATCAAAACTCTTACAACAGAATCCTTGAGGTGGGCCCACCGCAAATCTGGATCCCTGCCTTGTGTCCCTCCCCCTTCCCTCAGATCCCCACGGGATGCAGAACCTGGGGTGGATCCAGATTTGCCAACTCGAGCCCACCTTTCCGACACAGCAGTGACGTAACAGCCAAATCCCGACCGAATAAGCAGCACCAGAAGTTAAATTACTATATACAACTGTTAGTGAGATAGATACGGTACAGTAAACACTGAAAACATTTACAAAAAAATATTAAGACTTGTATTAAGATAAAAATCGGAGTGTTTTTGCTTTGTTTACACTTTGACGAGTTTGCACTAGAACAGCCTCTCGCTGGAGAAAGCGCAAGAACCGGGAAGGAAAAATGGAGCCAAGCACAGAACCTCGGGATAGTGGTTGTTGGCTCTGGTGCTGCAGCACCTCTCGGGGTCACCTCTGGTATTGCTTTGTCAGGGACCAGCTCCGGGGCCACGGCAGGACCCTCACACACACACACACACCCCACACACACATCAGGGTACAGCTCATAAATAACAGAAACACGGACTGAGGGAACAGAACTGAACTGAGCCTGGATCTCAACACCTGCCCCCAAACCTTGTTAGGGGAGGGTCACCGTTAGGTCCAGTTGTTGCCAATTGCAGGTGAAGGAGACAGGGAAAAATGGGGGAGTGGGGAACTCTACTGCAATGAGACTTTGTCCTGATTTGAATTTCTTTTCATACTGGCTTGGGAAACTAAGCAATAACTCCAGAAGGTGTTGGCACTGGAACTTTTAAGATTTTAATAACTGGCTATGGAAGGATTTAAGCGTTCCTGCTCTTTCAGCAGAACAATGTGTTCAGTAATTTGCAAGTCTGAGGTTAACCAGGAGTTTGTGACAGATCGGGGCAGGGGGGGAGCAGTGCCTTGGCTTGTGGTTGAGGAGATTAAGATGGACTGTGCTCAGCTTCAGCACTAAACAATTGGTTTGTGGGTGTTTTTCCAGCTCTTAGAGAGAGCACTGACTGCATCCCAAAATTACTTCCATGTATGAATGGAAACGTCGTGGTGGGCGCCTGCCCCCGTGCCCTGTGAGCGTTTCCATTCCTCTATGTTACTTCTGTCTTGAAAAACTCCAGTCTCTCGCAACACAAATAGTGAGAATTCAAAAACAATCAGCTCTACACACACATCTCAGGGCAACAGCATTTAAAATAAGTCTTTTTGCAGGGTTCTTATCGGGTATTTGACTCTGAGACAGTGGCAGATGTGAGTGCACGTACCCAACGCTTCACAGTACCCTGTATATTCCTAACCTGTCTGGGTCTTTCTCCAGTTGTAACCTTGTCAGTTTTGTGAGGTTCTTCAAAGCCATCTGTGCTAGTCTCCAAAATTCAAAGGTGACTGTACTTGCCATAAGATCTGAGTTATGACATTGCTCTGAGGAGCTCCGTTTGGGGTCTGCTGTGTGCTGCACCCCTCGGCAGCTGCTGGCGGGGTGTGGAGACCTCAGTGCAACACTTCTGCTCCTCCTGGGCTTGGCCCAGGGCTTCCAGGGACCAGGAAAACATGTAGGAAAAGAAAAACATCTTTAATTTTGCGTGTGGAAGAATGCTGTTAAGGAGCCTTACGGCTGCGGGGCAGCACGGCAATGCAGAGCTTACTGGCCAAGTGTCCTGCTCAGGCAGCCTGGGCACTGCGAGGTTGGAGATGGTGCCTGAGCAGAGCTCGGGGCACATCCTGGTCCCTGTGCACTTCTACCCATGGCAGGAGCAGCCAGGCCAGGCGTTGAGCAGGGTGTGACCCTTTGTGGGAGCATAGGCAGATGTCCTGTACACTGTGCACTGTCATCCGGATCTCAGGGAACCCTCTGGAACGAGGGACCTGCTCTGAGAGTGGGGCCCGTGAAGGACTAACTGCAAGAACCACAAACCAACAAACACACCGTGGTGGCGGCTCAGCGGCACGACCCCCGTGAAGGGGTGACCCCTCCGCTGAGCCATCGTGGCTGTGCCGGGTCTGCGCTGGGAAAGTCTAATCCTGGCTTAGGCCTGCACAGTGCTCCTGACAAGGGGGCTCTCGGTGGTGGCTGCTGTTCTTGGTGGTTACTCCCTTATGACCATGTTTTACATTCTTCAAGCCGGTTAATTTCCATGCAGTGCTCATTCCCAATTTAAAGAGGACAGTATTCCAGAAAATGGGATCTTTTTTTTTCTAATGCATACTGTGAAAGAAAAGAAATACAATTACCGATCTTCATGGTTCTTCAGGGCTTTTTCTTGTTTCTTTGTCTGTTTTTCTCCCCAGAAACAGTAAAACTCTCCTCACAGAGCATTCCATCCCCACAACGACCCCTCGGTCAAGCAGGAAGCTGCCGTTCCACGTAGCCCCTCGCTCCCCCTCTACCACAACGGGCACCGGCAAATCCAGCCCCTGTCCCTCAATCACAGCTCAGGGACCAAGCTCAGGCAACATTCACTTTATTCTGTGGCTGGAAGTGCAGGTGGGACAGTGCCTGGGGCTATTGCTTACACAACTCTTCCCCTTTATTTGAGAGGGAGCAGAAGCAGTTGACAGGAATCGGGGTCGCCATTCACCAGGTGCCAGCTCCTCCCTCCTCTCCTGTGCCAGAGCCTTGGCCTGGCCCCGTGCCCCTGGGCTGCCCAGGGACCCCGGGAGCCCCAGCAGCACCAGTCCTGCCCATCTCCACTGCCCTGCCAGCGGGGTCCCCCACACAGCACCCCTCTGGCCACTGCACGCCCTGACCTTCCATCTGCACTGTGCTCCCTGGATGGGCGGAGTTAATTACACACTAATTAGCTGCGTAAATGCCCTGTGGATGCTGTGAAAGTCAGTGGCCTCGCACAGGCCACATCGGGAAGGAGGCTGGGCTGGGCTGGGGTTCACCCTGGGAGGGCTGTGCTCCGGGGGGAGGCACAGGAGGAGCGGGCCGGGCTCTGCTGCCGTCCCTCGGACGCTACATCCAGCAGCACGCTCGGGCTGGGCTTACCGGGCCCTGCCTGCTGCAGGCCCTGCCCAGCTCCCTTTACTTCGCTGACTGACACGACAAGGACGTTACTCCTTGCTGGGGAGGGGTGAGGCATATCCTTTAGGCCAGTTTGGAAGGAAAAGGTTACTTCTGTTTAAACATTAAACACTGATTCAAATCCAACAGTGACAGCGATTCTCGAATATGTGTTATTTCCTTATGCCACTCATCTCACACTCGACATTCCCGTCCCTCAAAGTGCTGGCATTGGCATCTCCCACGGCTGGGTCGGCGCCGTCCGCAGTCAGGAGCTGGTGCTCGGGCGTTCTCGGCTCAGGGTCCCTCCGGCCAGGCCTCCTCCCGCGGCAGCGCCCGCCGCGCGTCAGCAATTACTGCTGTTTCTGAATTCTCCATTCTCTGTAATCTGCAATTTAGTTGGGTTTGTGGGGGAGATCCCATTACGTGTCTGCATGCTGTACCTCTCTTTCAGCTGAGTGAGGGCACTCATTAGCCGTGCGTTGGCAGCGTCCAGGGAAGCGATGCGTTTCTCCTGCAAGCAAACGGCACAGGGCACAGTCAGCACCAGGGAACCAGCCCTGTCCCTCTGGGATGTCAGGGCTTGTCCCCAGACAGTGACCCAGAGGCCTCTTGGACCAGGACACTTCTCTCTGGCACTCTCAGGTGCAGGGGTTTTAAGCGCTACTACACAGCGTTTTCTGAAATCCGCTGCTCTTGGCAGGACCACAAATGTCCTTTTCCCGTGCAATGCCAGCTACATTCGTTTTAGGATCCTGAAGAAAATGGAGGTAACAAAGTTTCTCTAATTATTCAATTATGCAGAAATTCATTGTACTGCTTGTTCTAACTCAGCTGTTGTGAAGATGGTAGGATTCCTTTTCTAAACCCAAGCTCTCCCAAGATAGTTATTCCTGTCAGTGTTTAATTGATTTTGTTAGTGTAAATTAATAGTTTAAATGACTTGCAGCCTCCCAGGATGTCTTTGATGGCAACTCTCACCAATTACAGTATTGTCAGAATGGAAGCAAGAGCTTATGTTGCAGCCTGATTGGGCCACTCCTGTTCTTTGTGACACTGCTGCTGGTCTCTGTTACAAACTAAAAGATTATGGACTGTATTTTCAGGTTCTGTTTGCCAAGCACAGTGTTTTGCACCCATCATGTGATGCTCCTCTTCCACTGTAACTGCCAGCAGTAACTGAGCTTCCCAATCCTGCAAGCCATGACCCAAAGGCTGAAAAAACATGTTGGCTTGGCTCTGGCCAGGCTGTGTGTTCCTTGTGGCCAGGGCCTGGAAGCATTACTGGGACACAAAGCACCAAGAAATGCTCCAGGATATGATCCTTCCACTCACTGACTGAACTGTGGGCATGATCCCTGCCCAAACTGCCACCCCCACGCCCTGTGTGTCTCCTGCCACACTCCCAGGCTGCAGAGCTGCACAAATGTGAGTGCTGTGACAGTGAATCTGCCTGCCCTGTCCCTGCCTGCCTGTGCTGGCTCACCCCATGGTCTCCCCACGCTGGGCTGGCACTGCTGCAGCCCTGGCACGGGGGACTCACCTGTGCATCGATGATCTTCTGCTTGGAATCCACGGCAGCCTGCATTTCAGCGTGGTCCTTCTTCAGCTCCTCCTCCACTGACATCAGTCTGGGGACAGACAGGAGAACCTTACATTGGCTGGGCTCTGCTAAGCCCAGGTATGAGTCTCACACTCCACCTCCTCTTACATACAAACCAAACGTTTTCCTGGCTCTTAACTCGTCCCTGGAGCTCTCTCTAGAAGACCAGCCCGAAGCTGAAGTGACCCATTTACAAGGGCTCAAGGGCTGAGTGAAAGCACTCATTGGGCTTGGCTCAGGTAAAGGTGTCCCAGACAAATGTAAACACAAATCCCACTGGGTGGGAGAAAGGGAATTGGAGCTAGGAGTGAGGGATGGTGGTGAGATCCTTAGCTATATGAACAAGCCTGCCAGAGCCTCTGGGAGCTGGGATGGGCTGCCAGCTCTCCCCTCCTCAAGTTTTGCCCTTGTGAATCAGGAAAATGCTGTGGTTTTCCTTGTCCCAGGTAACACTGAGAGGGAAACCCACATGGGAGGGATCAGCTGTAACCCCAGCCAGGCTGCCCAGCACTGCCATCCCCTGTACCTGCTGATGATGCCCTTCATCTGGATCTCCTTATCCTCCTGCTGCCTCCGGAGCCGCTCCTCGCTCTCCTCCAGCCTGGCCTGGTACTCCAGCACCAGCTTCTGCGTGGTCTCCTCCTGGCATTTGAAGCGGGTCTCGTACTCCTCCAGCTTCTTGTTGGAGATGCGGAGCTTGTCCTGCAGCACCACCAGGTCCTGCTGGTACTGAGCGCCCAGGGACAGAACAGGAGGAGAAAACACATGTGGCACGTTACCTCGCAGGGCTCTGCCCGTGCCAGGGGTTACCCCAAACCCGCTCACGCCCCTCTCTCGGATCAGACTATCTGCAAACCCGTGTCAGACAACCCCGCTCGCCGACACCTCCTCTTCCGTCTTCTCCGCTGCACTAGGAGGGATCCCGGGTCCAGGGCAGGTCACTGGCAGTGCAGAGAGTGGGCTGTTAGCAGAGTCTGGCATTTCACAGGGGAAATGCAGGTTAGAGCGAGCGAATGGCAAAGGCACCCGGCACCCTCCGCGCAGGCAGGAGGGGCTGCAGCGCTGGGGCTGGGGGTTCACGCAGGAGCTCTTCACCTGCAGCACAAACTGGGGGGCTCTGGGCAGGCTGGGAGCCCAGCACGAGCTGCAGTGACAAAGGCAGGACGCTGCTGGCTCGGTATCGCTTCACCAGGGCGATGGCACCGCGCTGGGCACGAGCAGGGCACGGAGCGCTCCTGCTTTTTTTGGGGCCCAGCACTTCACACACTCAGATCTCAAACCAGGGATCAATCCAAGAAGAGCCACTGCGTGAAGCTAAGACCCCGCAGTTGTACTGTTCATTGGGGTGAAGCTATAAATCAGCAGCAGGATCACAGAAAGCAATTAAAAAAATTAAGAGCTTTTGAACTCGGTAAAACTGGGTTCAACTATTGCAGCAGCACAGCATTCAGTACAACCTGCTTTGCTAAAGGAAAATCCAGTGAGTGTGCGCCCAAAAAAACCTGCTTTAATTCCAAAAAATTATCTTTGGAAATTGTCTTTGGAAAAGAATCTCAACTGGAATAACCTCTGAATAATTAACACGCAGCTGATAATGTGACAAGCTGCTTTCAAAGAGCCAGATATGGGAAAAAGCCTCTCATCTGAGTCCTGAAGGCTGTTAAAGCTACAAGTGTTATTCATGAACTTTCAGAAATGCGCCTGGGTAAGCACTGCAGGGATGGACTGGGTCGTGCCCATTATCTGAGAGCCCTCCTGGGGTGTGTGACCCCAGATCAGCTCTAGGGACAGGCAAGGGCAGCACTCCAGGCACAGCAAAAACAGCTGCTATTCCCAAGGATTGAGGACTCAGGAAGCTGATGGTCTTCCTGAACTGCCCAAGCCCCGCAGTGAGGCTGGCAGAGGGCAGGACCTGGAGCTCCCCCTGCCCGGGACAGAGCACCCCAACTTTCCTTTAGCAAAGCTCTCGGTGCAGCAGGGAAAGGACAGGGGGTGCACATGGAACCTGCAACCAGGAGGGGACACAAACGCCCGTGCAGCTGCACAGAAGCACTAAAGTCAGACAGCAGGGAGGTGCTCGAACAGGAAAGATTAAATACCTACCCTAGCCTTAAAATAGGAGCAGCGTAAGTGAGCTCAAAGGAGAGCAGCAGAGGCCTCAGAGCCCGAAGGAGTCGCTCCTGTCTCTAGAACACTTCTCTCATTCTTGGTTACCATTCATGTCTTACGGTAATGGGGAGAGAGATTATGCTAATGGTGATCTTGGATGTCAGTGACTGATGGCACAGCAGAGGAAGGAAAGATGCTGCATGGCAATGAGACAGCAGGGCAGGGCCCCCTGGACCTGGGACAGGGACACTGCAGTGCCACAGGGGTTTATAACCCCACCAGTGTGTGCCCTGCTCAGAGTAAGGAATGGGCTGAACCCAAAACCTCTGCCCTGCTCTTCCTGGGGCAGCTGGGAGCTGCTGCCTTGGACCTCCTGGGCCCTACGATGATGCCTTTGGCATCTCACTTGGATTTCAGGAGGTGACAGTCCCCAAATGACACAGCACAGCAGAATGAGCACAGGAAGGCTACTGGAACAAAAGTAGAGACATGTCTGTCCTGGCAGAGGAGGGTGGGGATTTGGGGAGGGTGATGCCTGCAGTGCTGAGGGACAGGAGGGGACGTGTGGCTGGTGTGAGAGGAGAGAAGCAGAGTGAGGAAACATCCCGAGTGCTAAAGGTGCCCAACTGCCCACTCCCAGCAGAGCCAGGCTGGATCCTCATTGCCAACCCTTGTTTTTCACCCTGGCCTGGCCTACTCTGTCTCTTCCCAGCTTCTCCCACCCCAGGCTCGCCCAGGAAGGAGGGGAAGGGAGCAGCACCCCTCTGCTTCAGGGCCTCTGTGGGACCAGAGACTCAGACTGAACACTCTGGGATGGGCTTCCTGGCAGATCCCACACCGGCCTGGCCCTGACCTGTATGACACAGCCATAAGCTCATGGCAGTGTCACTAAACTGCTGAGGTCACCTCAGGCCCCAGTGCTGTCTCTGAGACTAAAACATGGACTTAATTTTTAGGTCTGTGAACTGCCTTTTGACATGGAAGCTGCTTCCTGCTACATGACCCTTTACCTCATTCCCACCTGTGTTATACGTGTGCTTAATCCACCTTTTCAGTTTCCTTCCCTGCAGCTGGGAGGAGTTGGAATGGGGGCAGTAGGAGGCCCTGGCTGGCTGCAAAGTTTATTGCAGGGCAGCATCAGCAGCTGATTGCTGGCTCCTGTTTTTCTTACTTGCTTTCATCAGAAGATGATTCCAGTCATTGAGTGTGTGAAAACCTCCCGAACCTTCTGCAGAAGTTCCCTGTGAGGCCGAGCAGGGCAGCACCCTCTCTCATGGACAGGGACCTGCACACAGCCCACCTTCTCCCCAGGGTGCTCAGGGAACAACATTCAAGGAAATCCTCTCTCTATTCAGAAACTTGTTTCAATCCAATCAGGTTTTACCTTTTCTGCTTGGCTGAGCTCGTCCTTATTCCTGAGCTTATCCCTGTGCTTGGAATCTGGGTCAATGCTTTCATCTTCTAAAAACTGCATGTTCATATTCAAAAGCCAAGCAGCAGTGCGGTCCAGGGCATTGGGGTTCACAGGAGAAGGGGCCTACAATGAAACACACAACCATGACAAAAGAAAAACCTGGAACAGAAATGGTCATGAGGCTGGAGAGAGAGTTTCCTTCCAGGCAGACCCTCTCCCATGCTGCCCAAAGAGCAACGAACCAGGCTGGGCCACCAGAGCGGCCGGGGCTGGGGGCAGGAGCAGCTCCTGCTCTGCAGGTGCACACTGGTTTGGGTCAAACGGCCTCTGAGAGGCCAAATCCTTCCCTGTGCCATCCTGCCTGCACAGGCACAGCAGAGCACAGCACCAGGATCCTGCTCAGTCGTGGCCCAGGTGCCTGAGCAGGTCCTGCCGCCTCAGAAGGGCACGAGCTGCGGGTGAACGGAGTGGCTGGGCGTGGTGTGTTCACTCCACGAGCAGGGAAATCACACTCTTCAGCCTGCTACTGAGCTGTCTTTGCTTGCAGTGGGGATTCCACACAGCTAAAACAAGATCTGAAAACTGAAACGCTCCTTATGATCGTGCAGGTGCCTTCTTGGAGAAGAAAGGTTTCCTCTGGGCTGAGGCTGCACTGGGGGTGCTGCAGAGATCTAAATGCTCAGCTTCTCAGTACTTCAGCTCGAGTTTGTTCCTGCAGCCAGGGGAGCCAAAGGAGCAGTGCTGTTCCATGGCCAATGAGCTGGAGCCACAGCTGCTGCCTTTCAGTCCTGGGCTGGGCAGGGACTGCCAATGGCACTGCCTGAATATTTTCCAGCCACATTACACAGTTGAGGAGGTCACCCTCCAGCTATTTCGCCTCCATCCTGCCTCATTATAAACTGCAGTAAACAGCTGGATGAACACATGGGACCTGGGTGACTTGGTCAAGGCAATTCAAGCTAACAAATCAGAAAGGCTGAGGTCTTTCTCCTTCATCCCAACCTCTGGACAGTGGAGAAACCCAGTCACTGCCAGGCAGCAGAACAGGAGGGTCTGTGTTGCAAGGAGTGGGGACTGGTTTAAACCCCTCACTGGGGTCAGGGGCTTTCCTGTGCCATCTTCCAGTCTGGTCTTCTCTCTCCAGAATTATGAAGCCAAATGGCTCATGAACACTCATGAACATGACTTGCTACAAATCCTCTTCCAGCTTGTGGTTTTCTGTTTTTTTGTTCAGTAGATGAACTTGCAGACGTAGAGGAAGCCTCCCTGGCTGGCAGCAAGGAGGTTCACGGACTTCTTCTAAAAAAAGCCACCACATGGGATTCCTCTGGTCTCAAACAGCACTAAACACGACCAATGAGGAACAGTTTTCAAATGGTTTCCAGATGCTGCCAACAAGCAAATGAAATGTGCAGAGTGAGGGCGGCAGAGGCATTCTGAGGACTCCAGGTCTGGAGAGAAACTCCGAGAGGATCACAGGGGTGAGTGGAGGAATGGTCTGCAAAGAGAACCCGGCCAGGGCTTTCCGAAGGTACCCAGAGATCACCGATGTCCTTCTGGCAGGAACTCTGCCAACAAGGGGCCTGTGGTGCTTGCAGAGCTCTGTGCCCTCTGTCCCCAACGAGTATTGATCCGTGTTACACAAAAGCTGCTGCGTGGCAATGCCAGCTTATGGATCGATACCGAACGCATGGACCAGCTCCAGATGGGAGCACGGAACAGCCTTCTGTGGGCAGCACTGACTGACCCAGGGCTGCCTCATGCAGGAGAGGAGGTCACACCAACACTGCACTGCTGGAGAGGTGCCTGAACTCTGGGTCTGGGCCCAGATGCAGCAGCTCCTGCCCGCTGTCCACGTTCTCTGGGTCTGTGTTACTTTTACAGCTCTTCCTTTAGCACAGACAGGCCCTACTGTGGTAAAGTTCTATAGGCCAGTTATAGGGAAATGTAGGGTGAATAAATGAGCACTAGAAAAGCAATTTGTTCATGCCAGGCCAACCAGAGGGCTCTGGGCCTGTAACTTACTGCTTTCCATTTTCGCCCAACAAACTGTGGACTGGATTTCTGTGCAGCCCAGCACCTGGTCTGGGACTGGGATCACTGCAGAGCTCAGCACAGCGGGACCGTCGCTCTCGGTGAGGAGCATCTGCTCCTTCCTCATCACTCCCACCTCTCACAGGAGGGTCCCACAGAGCATTAGGGGTGCCATGGCCCTGCTGGGACGGGAGCAGCAGCAGCAGGGAGGCTCTTAGGCACAGGAGATCAGGGCCTGTTCCAAGCCTGGGAGATGGCGTGGGGTTGACTATGGCATGGGATGAGAGCCTGGGCATGGAGAGGCAAAGCAGTGACAAGATGGTAGCGCCGGACAGCGGCACGGCTGCCACGGCCCTCGCGCCTCTGCCACCTACCGCCTCACAGCCAGCGAGCCCTGGGACAGAGGGACACTGGCAACAGACACTGGGCTGTCCCCAGCCCTGCAGGGGCTCCGTCTCAGGCCGAGCTGGGTGTCAGAATTGAGGGACAATCTCCCCCACGGCAGTGACCCCACGGGCTGAGCCCACCCGGCCCCTCAGCGCCCAGAGCCCCAACAGCCCGAGCTCACCTGTTTGTGCATCGTGCGCTGCTTCATCTCGGGGCTGTCGCCCTTGGAGGAGGAGGACTGCTGGCGGAGCCGGGCCCCGCTGCCGGGCCAGTCTGGCGAGGAGGACATCATGCTGCCGCTGGAGGGCCGCGGGTACTGCACGGTGTTGAGCAGGGACGGCGGGGTGCGGCCGCGGGACACGGGCGGGGGCGGCGGGGGCGGCTGGTCGATGCGGCGCTGCGGCCCCGCGCTGTTCTGCCGCGGCATGGTGGGCTGCCCGCCCTTCTCGGTGAGCGAGAGCTGCCGCCGGGCCAGCTCCCCCGGCCGGCGGGAGAAGTCCTCGGCGGCGGCGGGGCCGGCGAAGCCGTGCTTGTTGGCCGTCAGCTCCTCGCTGTTGCTGTGCGAGCTGAGCGAGCTGTGGCACTCGGAGCCCGAGTCGCCCAGGCCGCGGGGGGACAGGGGCAGCCCCGCGGCCATCTGGTACACGGGGTTCTGGAAGGACAGCGGCGCCAGCAGCTGCGGCCGCCCCGGCGCGCTCTCGCCGCTCGGCGTGGTGGGCGTCTGGCCCACCCGGCGCACGGTGGCCATGCCCGTCACGCTGTTCTGCTGAGTCCGTGTGCTCCACACGCCCTGCAACTGCCCCAGGGACGACTGACTGTCATTGAGGGAGTCGGCCGTGCCGGGCGCGTTGGCCCCACTGTCCAAGAGCCGATTGTCCTGCAAGTCCACCATGGACAAACTCTTGCTGCCATTAGACATCTGCACGTCGGGCTCATTGGCCTCTGAGTAACTGGAGCTTCGGGCAGGCGAGGGCTGGGCCCCAGCAGACCTTGTGACAAAAAACAAGTCCTTGTTTTCAGGGGTTGGAGATGGTAACCGTGTGAAATCTATCAGACTGCGGGGAAGTCAGTGCGTAAGGAAGAGGAGAGGAAAACAAAACAAAAAAGAAGAGTTGTGAATGCTGCACCAGAGCAGGAAAACGAAATCACTCAGAAATCAGGGTGGCGCAGCTGGGTGGGATTGGGATCGGGGTGGGGACATGGACAGGACCCAGCCCCGGCAGGGGGGACGGTGTGAGGGATGGGGAGGATGGAGGGTGCCATGAGCCCCGGGCTGGCCTGGGAGTGGGCAGGGGAGGACAGGTGAGCGAGGGGAGTGCGTGCACGGCCAGGGTGCTGGGCAGGAGGCACCAGGGACAGGCTCCTGGGGCTCTGCTACCCCAGCTGGCTCTGCTCCGGGCCAGTCACCTTTCCTGCTTCCAACCGTGCCACGCCCGTGTCCCCTGCTCTGTACCTGGGCAGCAAACTCCTGTGGGCACCCTGGCCAGGATTTGTACAGCACAGGGCACCGTGGGGGCCAGATCCACACCAGGCCTCCCAGGGTCAGCAAGCGCAGCAGAGCTAAAGCCCGGCAGCTGAAGGTTATCCCCCCATTCCTGCTGCAACACACATTCATGCAGTATTGATTTCTTGGGGAGAGGAAGAGAGAGCTTTGCAGTAGCTTAATGCGAATATTCTGCTGATCAAAGATGGTGCATTGTAAGCAAGTATTTGGGGAGAAGCGTATTGTCAAAGATCCTCCATAGCATTAGACAAATAATTGCACCTCATGCTGGGAAGCACTAGAGATGAAAGCTCTGATTAGAGGAAGTCCAGTGCCATTGCTGCCTTTCATTTCTAATTAAACTGTTAAATATTATGTAGTTTCCACTTACAAACTATTTTACTAGCACAATCTTTCCATTTGTGTGGGCTCCATTTCATTTTCCACAAACAGAAACATCAGAGGTCTGCAACAGCCTCATTCTTCCCCATGAATGAGGCTCCTTAAAAAGCATGTAGGTGACTGTGTCTGTGAATCACTACTCATCATTAAAAACACACAGTTTTATAAAAACTGGACAGAGCAGTCTGGAACTCATTGTGAGGCCTCTACAGCTTGGCAACTGTTACAGAAATAGCAGGTTTGGATCTCAGTGAATTCAGCACACACCCTTACAGAGATGGGTAAGGCCAATCCTGTACATCTCGAATGCTCCCTACTGATGACACTCCATCATCTTGAGGTCAGCACAAACAGACTCTCAATTCCTCCAAAGATGAACATTTTGCTTCTGCAGCCACATCTCAACAGCTGAGACCAGGACCACCAGGTTCCTGATTTCCCAGACCACGTGCCCAGTTTTGGCTCTTGAAGGGCTCAGGATGCAGCCACAGGCTGGCACTACCACCCACTGCTTTGGCAGAGTCAGAGCTGAACTGCACCCAGGATCCGCTCTGTGATGGGAAAGCCTGGACAACGGACTGGGAAACTGCACCCTGCACCCTGTCCTGCCTGTCCCTGCACGAATATTCCGCATTTCCCGGGTGTCAGCCCGGCCACGGTTCATCCCTTACCCAGAGAGGTCATTCTCTATCACCATTTTCTGGAGCCCTGCAGAGATGCTGTTGCCAGCGCTGGGCGTGGACGCGGCGTGGTCGGCCGTGACCGAGAGCTGCAGGCAGGCCGGGTTGCTGAGCGCGGCGTTGACGTCCCGCAGGATCCGGGGCAGGGGGCCCAGCTTTGTGGCAGTGCCCTGGGCAGAGAAGAGAGCAGAATTACTACCAACAGCTTGTACTTTCGCTGGAGAACCGTGGGCTTTGACAACTGCTGGACAGTCCCTTCAGTGAATCACATTGACAATATTTTCCCCATCATTTCCATCCCCCAAGGCTGCCCCTCCATCCCCCAGGTACCTGCTCCAGTTGGGAAATGACTTCCCAGAGTAGTGAGTGCAATGTGGACAGCTCCCGGCCCAGGTCGATGTAGCCCTCAAAGCCAGCTGTGTTTGAGATGGTTTCAGGATTGGAAATCTCCAGGAGAAACCTCTGCATGTTAGTCCACTCATGTTCCAGGAACTGATTCATAAAGGACATGTATTCCTCTTTGCTGCCAAACCTATCGAGAGAGCAACATGGATTTCACCTAAATCCTGTCAAAAGAAGTGCACTTCACAGAAAGGGCAGATACATATGCAGGTAAGAACCTTTCTCTGGCATCTGAACCCTTCAGAGTCTTTGGGATCCAAGGGCTGCTAGCAGGTCCCTGGCACACCTCACCAATCATGGGAACAAAAGTAACCCCAGCCTGATCCAGCTAAGTCCTTATCAGTGTGGGATCTCCACAGCACAAATGGAGGTGAAAGCTAGAGAAACACAGGAGTTGTTGGTAGTGAACCCTCTCTTACTGCTGGGTCAGAGTACAGCCTCCAGAAACAGGACCTGTCACTGGAAATCAAGATGCTGTCACAGCAATCACCCTCAACTGCTGGGGGTAGGAATCCTGCACCCTTCAGCAATGCTGGCACAACTGCTCTGGGGCTCACCCTGGAGAGCCACCCCTGCAGCTGGGCAGCCTGGGCTTCCTGCCCCCTCCTTCTGCCCTCCCAAGCACTCCACCCTCACTCGTGTCTTACTGAGGGCACAACAGGGAGGGCCCCGTGGCTGGGCCGTCCCGGCCGCGGTTGGTGCTGTGCCAGCAGCTCTGTGGACAGGCCCAGTGCCGCCCACAGGACAGCTCGGCTTGATCACTTTGGCTTGACTAATGTCAGCTTAGTAAAAGAGCCTTTCCTTGAGTGCTGGGGATCTGAAAGCCCTTCAGCCAGGGATTGGTCAGGTGTACAGAGGGTTTCTGTCATGGAGTGTAACACACTTGTACATCTCCCGCCTGCGTCCTGCCTGCGTCCGGGCGCTCCCGACTGCGAGTGCGAGCACTAAGCCAGTTTCCAGATCTAAGGAGCTTTAGACAGAAACTGTCCATTCATGTTTCAAAAAGCTCATCATTTTGTTATCAGAGCTCAGGATAAGGAGCTCAGAGCTGCAGCCAGTGGAAAGATTTTCAGAAATCTCTCGCTTTGTTTCCATCAAACCAGTGGGCTTAGTTAAGAATTGATAGTGTCCCTGTTCTCTTCTCAGGCCTCCCCAGTTCAGCCAGCTGCATTTCAACAGCAGGGAAGGTCCCAGAGCTCAAAGGAGGGACAGAGCAGCTCCTGAGCTGTGCACACCACTGCTGCTGGTAGGGTCTGGTCCCACACCCACGGGACACCACAGGACAAAGTCCCCGCTGCCACCCCGCTGCTCATCCACGAGGTCAAAACAGCCTGTTTTCCCACTCCCAAAACATGTCCTGTTTTGGAAACTTTAATGATCTCCCTGACCCAACAGTCAGTCCCAGAGAGATGTGGGGGGAAGAGCCAACAGGAAGCCCACAGGCCCTTTCCAGCGAGGGAAGGAGCAGCGGGCGTGGGACTCCGCGTGGCTCTGCCCACACAGCCGGAGGTTCCTTCCCCGCTCCCCAGCCCGGCTTACTTGGCGAAGTTGGCGAGGTTCTGGGTGACCTTGGCGATGAGGGTCAGGGTGCGCGCCGTGCGGTCGTCCGGGTACTCCTGCAGGAGGCTGAAGAGGGACGGGGACATGATGGCCGGGCACAGGAAGCGCAGGAACAGTGATGCGCTGATCAGGCGCTCGCTGATGTCGGGGCGGCCACGGTTGCTGCACTCCTGTCTCCACGAGGCAAAAACTTCTTTGAGCTCCCTTGGGAAGACGCTGAAAGGACAGAAGGGCAGGCAGTGTCTGTCAGGGTTAGGGTGTCAGGAGACTCAAACCACACGGGAGAAAGCAAAGCTGCTCTGTAAAGCTGTGAGAGGGGCTGTGCCATGAATCACCAGCAGCTCCAGGGTCTCCAGCACAGCTGGAGCTTGGAGGGAGGGCTCTGCAAATTGTAATACTCCTGTTCGAGCACCTGGATCAAATCCCAGTGTGCCTAGTACAAACACAGAGCCCCACCAGAGTTACTCCAGCCTTGTCGCTGCACAGACCTCAGCCCGCCTTTCCCGGATGCCAGAATTCCCCTGGGCCCAGCAGCCCTTATCGCTGGAGAACTGCTGCCTGTCCCTGCTCGGCCCTCCCCAGCTCCCTGCTCCCACCTTATCCTGTTCCCAGCACGTGTTATTTATTCAGCTGGATACTCCCACCCGGGAGAAGGCTGGCACTGGGTCCCACTGTGGGTCCCTGGCACACGAGTCCCACCACCCCAGACAGGAACCACTGTGCTTGTCTCACACCCCGAGCTGATCACTGACAGCCAGGGGTACCAAAGCAGGGTGAGGGGGGGTTCAGGCTGCATTTTAGGCCATAAATGCCCTTCACAAACAGCCATTTCCGAGGATGGTGTTTCCCAGTTTTGCTGCAGGGACTATCTGGTAGCAGTGAAGCAGAGCCAGCTGGACTGTCCCCTCTGTGGGACTGACTGCCCTGGGCTGAACCGCTCACAGGCCAGGAAGGGGAGAAAACAATGGGAATTGCATGTCCAGAGACACCAACAGCATGAAGTAGGTGCTGGAGGAGGCTCCAAAAGAGAGAAGCCCTCCTCCCCATCCACTGTCCCTGTGGCAGCACTCCCAGGGCTCTGGGCAAATACAGGGGTGCTCCTCCTGCTGCCAGTGCTCCACATCCTCCAAGCTCTGCTTCCCAGGGCTACAGACACTCTTCACCAACATCAACTGCCTGCTCCTCACCAGCCAAGAGCTCAGGACCTGTGGTGTTTGGGGTCTGTCAGAGGGGCAGGAACCCTGCAGCCACCTGGCCATGGCCTCTGGCCCTGCAGGTGTTCCTTGAGCCCACAGGCAGAGCCTTTTTCCAGTTCCTCTTTATCCTTCCAACGTGATGGTGACACTCCATAAAAGGGCCTGGCAAATGCTGCCATCCTGTTCAGCTTCTGCTCCATGCTGGCTTCTCACTTTCACTCTCATGAGCATTCACCTCGAGCTTTACAAACAACATTAGCCACCGTCTTCGGCTGGATAGGTTCTCCTCTGTCTTTGGCTTGATCCACACAATTGGACAAAGCCCTTTTACTTCATGGTATTTGCCCAGAAACAGGAGAATCCTTTAAGCAATTTAAGGCTTGAATGATCAGGACAGGTTGTGCAGTTGCTGGAAAGCAAACCCCTGAAATGCAGCCCCGGCTGCGCGTTCCCCATCCCGGGCTGGAGCCCGTGAAGTTGAATGGTGCCACAGCGGATGGAACTCAGCTCGTCGGCTTTGTGTGACAAACGGGCCCGTAATTCATTACCCAACTTCCCAGTAATGAGCTTCCACATGCTGAAATTCTGCTTACACCGAAACTTTCCAGATGTCCAAATTATGTCATAATTATAACAATTTTGGGTTATTGTAAACCCCTTTCCTCTCCCTGCCTCTCTCCGCAGATGCGCACGCACACTCCAGGCTCTATTTAAAGCAGGATCGTTGGCTGTCAGGATACCTTGGCCAATCCCAGCACTCATCAGCCCAATTAATCCCCAGGAACCGCTGAGCACAAAGCACCGAGGGGGAACCACTCAGAGCAGCAGCTCAGCTGCTCCAGCCTTCCTTGGAAGAACGAACTTCCTGAGCATTCCTGACTCTCCTTAGGTCACTTCTCAAGCCTATTTTTAGAGTGACCTTTTAGTGCTGCTTTGGGTATTTTTAGGAAGACGTTAATTCAAACAATTATAATCCACTGGTGACTAGAAGTGGTAAATCCCTCCTGGGAGAACAGATAAATGCCATTCCCGAGTCAGAGCTGTTAATTGGCCCAGGATAAGGGATAGGATACCTGTAAAGAACCTGCCCTTCATGTACCTGTGGTGGATTATGGCAGCCTGAGGGAACCTCTTGCTCCTTGCTGTCTCCCTGAGCAGGATCAGGAAAAGCAATTCCCTTCCTGGTTTGCAGGAGGGTACACTCAATATCCCGGGAAATTACTCATAATAAGTTTTCTGACCTCAACACAACAGGTGGCATAGGAGAGAAAATGATAAATCCTCAATATGAAGGACTTCCTTCCTTCAAATATTATCCCTAGCTGATGTTTTGCAGCAACAACGTTGCTACTAAATATATTAATAAAAACTAAGCCCAGATTTTAAGCAGGAAGGCTGGAAATCCAGCAGTGAAACAAAAATGCTCCCTCTCTCATGATCAGAAAGACAGGCTGTGGGTATGTCAGCACGAAGCACAAAGCCAGTATTTTTATTTCTCCAATAAAGAGAGTCACAAGCCCACCTTTCCCCCCTTTCAGGTCACCCCTGCAGGCAGCAGGTTCACTGGGGCAGGGACTCCTGGCTCCCAGTTCCAGCAGGAACACCACGAGCACAGCCACATCCAGCAGCCAACTCCACAGCAGGATACAGCTGCCTCACTCCAGCAAATCTGGGATATTCAGGCCTGTCCCAACTAGTAGCAAGAACCTTTACCCTGAGAACAAACAACTCGGAAATGCCTCCAGCTGCATACCAGGCCTTGGGCCAAGGAGGCAACGGGCTCCCATCGCGCTCCCATCGCGCCTGGGGCCGGCAGAGACAGGGGTTAACCCAGAGGAATGTGGGATGCTGAGCCAAGCAGCACCCTGGGAGAACAGCAGCATCCTCCCAGCTCCAGCACCGCAAGCAGGGAACATCTGCCCAAAAAAAGCTGCCTGTGCTGGGTCCCTGCCTGCTGCAGGAGTTCAGAGCTTCACCGGCCGCTCCGGGAGGTGCAGTCTCATCCAGACCGAGTCATTCCATGGGTGGGAGACCCAGGACGTGCATTTCTGCCCTTCACTCCAGAATTTCACACACATTTGGCATCGAGTACCTCTCTGAACCGGTCACACTGGCAAAGGCATTTTGTGTTCCTTGACCCCAGTGCCCTGTCCCTGTGCCCCAGTGACCCTCCAGCACCTCTGGGTGACAGAGGATCCACGAGGCTGCCTCACCCCTAGAACTCATATTCCAAACTTTGGCAGAGCAGCAGCTGCTGTCTCACCTGCTCCTGCACCACCAGGATGTGAGCAAGGCCCCACATCTCCCCCTCTGAAGCTCCCTGACAAGCTGCTATGGGGCAGGTCCCAACATCTGCCACCCTGCCCCGCTCCATGCGAGCCGAAGGAGCGATGCTCCTGGGATACTCACCAGTAGGAGTTGATGATCTTGCAGAAGGCCAGCTCACAGCACATCTTCAGGTTGCCCTGATGTTCGGGAAGGTCTGAGGACGAACACTTGCTGGGATCCACCTCACAATTTTCGTCCGATTCATACAGTGCCTTGATAAATTCCCCTGTAAAACAGAGAGGGTTGGGGATGGGTTTGGAGACATGAGAGGAGCCTTCAAGCAACGCTGTTCCTAAGCCCCAGTGCCTGAGCAGCTTCCTGGCACCCCACCACACTGGAAGAGCAGATGGATATGAGAGCAGGTGGTGACCCCCAGAGCCCCAGCCAGCTCTCCAGGAGGACCCAGGAGAGCCTGGCAGTGCCTTGGGAGCTCATAACCGGCACAGCACACCCTGCACCCGGGTTCTGAGGAGCACATTCCACCCCTCTTCCCCAGCTGGCAGCTCTGCCCTGTGGCTGTGGGATATTGCACCAGGACTCTGCTGCCAAGCACCCGCTTCCACAGCCCGACCCCCCACGCTCCTGTTCCAGAGACGCTCCCTCGGGCTAATCCAGTAGGAAGGATGCTGGCAAGCTCTCTAATTATTGGTAGCACGGCCTGCTACTGCAGACTGTGCCCTGGCACTGACAAGCCACTGTGATTCACAGGAGAAACAGGTAATTAAAGGAAAGAAACAATTTACTTGGTTTATTTTGAGCTGAACATCACACAAAATTAAATGAAAATATTTCTCTGAGATTCCCTGTGCTCCTGTTTGCTGCCTGGCTGCTCCTCACCCTTGCAGAGGCTCACACTGTGGCTGCTGTGCCAGCTCCTGCTCTCGGGCCACCCTTCACCCTGGGGTAGCTGGGCACAGCCCCCACACCCACTGAGGGGGTGTCCCACCTCGAGAGGGGGGTCAGTCCCCCATCCCAGCAGTGACTGGGGGCACCAGGGGATGGGACAACAGGGATGAAAAGGCACCCTTGGTTAGCTTGGGTGATGTTCTGGCAGAAAGGTTTGCTTGGCTTTTCTTCTCATTCCAGGTGGTTTGCTCCTAATTCCTGTCTGCCTTGGATTTTCCCATCCTGTTTTCTCCCCGCTCCAGTCTGCATTCCTTCCCTATTGCCAAAACAGATTTTAATTATATACTGGAGAGCCTCTCCAATGTATTTTCAGCTCTGCCAGGGAGCTCTGGAGCCACTCTGCTCACCTGCAGGTGATGCCTGCTGTTCTCACCCGGCCCCATCACCCTCTCCCTGGCTCCAGGACAGTGCCACGCTGCCCTGGGGCACCTTGTGACACACAGGGGAACCATCTCACTGATAAATGGTCACTCACAATCAGCACCCCAACAGCGAACAAGAACCCCAGGCTCCTCCTGCACAAGATGGGCCTGGCAGCACTGAGCCCCAAAAAAGGGAATATTTCAGAATTCTCTGATTTCATTAATATTCCAGCTTTTGAGAAATTATATGAGATAATCTACTTACAGACTTGCCTCCAACCAGAAAGCATTACAAGGCAGATATAAATAATATTCCTTTTGCTATTCTTGTGAGTTCTCTGTTGCTTTGCCTGAATTTGATCAATTATTTCCCTTTCCTCAGTGCTGTCATTATTATTATTATTATTCTCTTAATAAAGTATTTATGCTTCCTTTCTCCTTGCTAAAATCCAACAGCAGGAACCCAACATACTGAAAAATTAACACCTCAATAGAAACTCTGCTCATCCTGCTCTGGGATGTGGATCCAATGGAGCTGCCTCTGGCTGAGCTCATTCCAAGGCAGCCTCTCCCCATCCTCGTGCTGTGCTGCCTGCACGCAGCAATTCCTTCCTGACCTGCCCAGAAGCAGAAGCTTCTAATTATTTTCATTTGCATCAAGAGAAATATTTTTGGAGCCATAAACAGAGCCAGCACTTTAAAAAAAACAAAACAAAAAACCAACACCAGGAGGGTTCCCAGTGCTGGGTGATCCGGGGGGCAGCTCATCACGGCGACTGGGGAGATCTCATCTGACTCGGGAGTGCTGCAGGAGCGTCTCTGGTGGGGTGTAAGGGGGGAAGGATTCAATCAGCCCATGACACGGCCAGTGCTGAGACAGAAGACCTGGCAGGCAGCATAATGCCTTCAAACATCCATTTGTTATCTCCTCTGAGAGGAGGGGGAAGCGCCAGCTCAGCGGTCACCTTCCCCCGGGAGCAGAGAGCTCCTCACAGCCATGCCCATTCCCCTTCCAGCAGGGAAGCGCTGGTGCCTCTGATACCATCAGGGCTCAGGTGATGGTCCCCACCCTGCAGCTCAGAGAACCTCTCTGGGCAAGACCTGCCAATGCTCTGTACGTACCTAAGGCATCTTGCAAGTATTTCTGCCCCACCAGCTTCAGGTATTCTTCGATTGCTTTGGTGGCCAGTGTGTTCTCCCTGAAAATGAGATGCTCATTCTCACCACAGCGATCAACTTCAGACATCATCAGGTCAGTCAAGAAATCCTGGAAAGCAAAGCCCATGGTGGGTCACACACAGACAGCGCTGGTCCCGCGGAGCAGCCGCCGCCCCGGCCCCGGGGGGGTCCCACCTTCGTGAGACGCCCGAGGGAGTGGAGGTGCTGCGGGTGATCCTCTGTGTGCACCTGCCTTTCCACCTGCCCAACTCCCTCACAGGGACAAGAGCAGAAATCAATCTCTGGAGAGTCTCAACTTTGGCACCCCAGTGACTCATCCCAGCCCTGCACTGCATCTGCCCCTCCATCCCTGGCTGGGCTCGCAGCAGCCTCACATCGTGTGGGTGAAACCTCCTCTCCCCCGTGCAGCGTGGCTGTGTTGGGTGTCCAAGCGCACTGCTGCACACCAGGGCCAGGGCCATGCTCAACGTCACGAGCTGTGCCCACAATTAATGGCTGAGAATCAATTAATGCTCAAGTGCCCTGTTTCCTCAGAATTGCTGGAGACAAACAGCTCTGCAACAGAGCCCATTTTGGGCACATTTTTGGTCCAACGTGCACACAACCAAACCCATGGGCTGTGATAATCCTCTGTGCTGCACAGCAAATGGAAGGGGTGAGCAGGAGCAGTCCCTGACAGCTGCCCCTCCATCAGTCTGGGCTCTTGGAGTGCAAATTCTCCAGGAAAACCAGCATTTCAGAGAGCTCCAGGTCTGCTTCAGTCACAGAGTTGACTGAGCAGAGGGTCAGCAGCTCCTGTGCTGCAGCCAGGGCTAATGCAGGAGGAATGCCAGGCAGCTCCTAATGCTGATACATGTTCTCTGCACTGCTCATGGCCAGAGCAGCTCTGCCCATGCCCGGCTCCTCCTCCTGCACCAGGTGCTGAGTGTCACCACTCACCTGGATGACAATGGAAAGAGGGGCTGGCACTGTGCAAATCCCCCTCTGACAGCTTCCCCATGCAGGAGACAGAGAAATGTTGACACACACGTTCACTTCCACAGCCAAGGGCACCTTTTCAAACTCCCTTCCACTGAAACAGAATAATCTGCTCAGTAATGACCTTCCACTAAGAAATTCTCCTTCATTCCTCACGACAGCACCAGTGGTAGCCCTGGCTGCTGGCAGGGGCAGGAGGAGCACCCCAGGCTGCCACGCAGTGTCCCAGGTCCTGCCCCTGCCATTCCCAAGCACAGCACAGCTCCCACAACACCCAACACCCCACTGCTCCCACATTCCCACAACACTCTGACTGGGACCAACGTGCTGCCCTGACCTTCCTCCAAAATCCTTCAAAAAAAACCAAAGAAGGAGCTTAGGGCTAAATAAATGAGAAGTCACTTCCATTATTTCTTTAGTCAGAAGATGCCCTTCCTCAGATCTCGCTACGTCTGCAACGCTCTGGCAGCTGCAGAGCCAAAAATCCCCCCTGGAAGCAAAGCACGGCCTCCCCCTGCTATTTTCTCTCATTTTGCCCCTTTTATCAGCCAAGCTGGAATGAAACTTTAAACCCTGCTCAAATCCCGTTAGCTGCTATCTGGGTAACTCTATCACCTTTATCTTCCCGGGGCTCTCCCAGGGTACGTTTCAATTCCAAGCCACCACTCAGGCTGACACAAGGTGCTGATTCTTAATTAGCAGCCACTGACCTTGGCTTTGCTTGATTCTCTTTCCTGTCACTTTCCCAACATACTAATTATCTCAGGAACACCGAGTTTTACAGCGTCTCTCAGCCAAGGGTTTGCTTTTCCCGCTCTTGTTGGCTGAGGACTGGCTGCCCGAGTCCTGGAAACCCAGGGGCCAAGTGGTAGCCAGAGAAAACGTGAATTTGGATGATTTTAGCTGATCTACAGAATTCCCTAGAATTTAAAGGAGGCAAAATTGCACGGCGGGACTCAACACAAAGCCAGAAACATCCCCCGGAAATCTCTGCTGCTGTTGTCATTCCCTGCACAGCACCTGCAGCTCAACAGCTGGGAAAGGGAACCTTTGTGGTGTCCAAAGCAGAAAGGAAAGCTGCTGAAATCCCAGAGAGCTCCATCACGGCACAGCACCCAAAGCTGGGCCCAGCACAGCAGGATCTGACCCTGTGACCGTGCAGGGGAGGAGGGCAGAGCCAGGACACCCAGCAGCATCTGCAGGATCGCCCCTGTCCCTGCAGGCCCAGCCTCCCCGGGCTGCAGGAGCCCTCCTGCTGGGCTGCAGGACCTGCCCCTGGGATGCACCCGGGGTCCCAGTCCCCACAGGGTGTGTCCCTGGGCGGCTTCCTCCGCAGGGACTGCTCTCGGCGGCCGTGGGAAAGGCGCCTCGTCCACGGGTGAGTTCCCAGGACATCCTGCCACTTCTGTCCCAGGGCCAGCGTCCAGAGCTCAGCTTCCAGCCCTTCCCTCCACACAAGAGAGCCACATCGGCTCTGGATCACACTTCTGTATCTCTGCCTTAAGTACTCCAGCAGCCAGCACTCAGAAGACACAAATGGAATGCAAATACTTGTGGAATCCCTCCGGGGGCCTCACTCACCCACATACAAGGTCCTGAATAAAATGCAATAACTAAAGCCAATAAAACTCCCTGTTTCTGAGCAGCAGAGATCAGCAGGGGGTTGTTTTCAGTTAGGGCCCCTGGCAATGGAAGAAAATAAGATGCTTTATTTCATTACATCAGAGTCGAGAGGGGAAGGAAAAAGGTCTACAGTCAAAATTAAGGGCTGTGCCAGTGTTCTTCAGGCTTGTTTCCATGTTTATTCTGAGGCTTTTTGCTTCAGACTGGACAGAGCTGAACCTGTGCGACCCCAGCCGCTGCACATATGCTGATAAAGGAGAGCAATTCATAAATAAATAAATTCAGAGCATGACAGCACAAGGCTGTGCTGGTCTCCAGTGCTCTGCACACAAACCAAGCACGAGCGTGTGCTATTCCAAGACAGCTCCTCCACAGCTCCAGACATGTGGGCAGCAGCCTGGCAGCCTGATCCCACAGCTTGCCAGTGCCAAGTGAGCCCACCCTACCAGGGAGGGGTCTGTCTGCACCAAATATCCCAGTCCCAGGGGGTTCCAAGTGCCAGTCCCTGAGCCCAGTGGCAATGCCTGCCCCCTCCAGCTCCTGAGCCTGGGAGGCAGAAGGATGAACCAGTTGGGTGCCTGGCAGGGCTGTGGTGGGAGCAGGAGAGCTGCCCTGGGAGCCAACAAACAACACACATCCTGCAGGATATACCCTGTTCAAACCCAGGAAGGATTCTGCACCTCTCCCCCGTGGGGAGGGTCCTCCTGCCCACAGCACGAGGGGTGTTCAGGGAGCTAAGGAGACCCCCCCCAAACACTGTGGGGGTCACACACCCTCCTGGCTGGAGCTGATTGTTCCTGATATCGTAACTGACTGCTGGGCAGATTGACTTTGAAATAATAAGGTTCTCCAAATCACAAGCCTGATTAATAGGATTGACTTAACCTTAAGAGGATTGAATTGATAAAGGTAATAAGATTACTGCTTATTTCAAAGACTAGCTCAGAGTCCAGCTGGGCCTTTATGCAAAGGTGAAAAACACCAGGGGTCGGTAGGGCTGCAGGTTACAGGTGGAGGAGTGTTGGGACACACCTACAGGGGAGGGAAACGTGGCACTGGGTGGTGCTGAGCTGTGCAAGGACAGCAGCAGAGGGGCAGCGACTCAGTCCTGGACACACCACGTGAAACCCAGGACCCCAGGCCAGTCCTAGACTGTTCCACCACACAGTTCCTCTGAGAATCTGCTCCAGACACTTCTCTGCTGGGAAATGCAGTGGGGTGCCCTCCTTCAAGCCCTGGAGCTCATCCTCAGTGCTTCTGGCATATTCCAATTCCCCTTGGGAAAAGGCAGTGAAGCGGCAATGTGAGAGTTAACACACAGGAATCTCTGTCCATCACCTTGCTCAGGGAAATCAGAAAACCTGACAGATACAACACTAACACACTGAGTGACCACTCCCTGTGAGGACAGAGGGGCTGGATCCCACACAGGAGGCTTGGGAAGTGCCCATCACCCTGAGAGCCAGATCCCTACACCCACTGGTGTTCCCAGTCCTGCCAGCCACCCTGACTGCTCTGCTTGGAAACAGGGGGGAAAACAGTGGGGATGCTCATAAAACTGATTAAAGCACTGATTAGCTCCACTATGGCTGCTATAAAATATTATCAGAGAGAAACTCTTTGTGGGGGAAACGACACGGCTGCTGCCGGTCTGTTTGTGGCTGAACGTGCGCAGCATCCTCACTTCCCTGTGTCCTCAGCCTTTCCAGGAGGGAGAAGGGAGCAGTGCTGCCTGCAGGGACCAACAGAGCCCTGGTGCCACCAGCCTCCAAGCCCAGCTGTGCCACATCTCCTGTCCCTGCCTGAGCTGAGCAGTCACTCTTTGGGAGGTCCTGGAGCCCTGATCCGACTCTGGCTCTGCCCCTGGAATGGGGGGTTCCAGCAGACTCACATGGGGAGAGCAGCTACATCTGCTCTGCTGAGGCAAATCCTCCCAGCACAAACAAACAGGGACACATGTTTATCCTTCACTCCATTCCCAACACCATAAATATTTATTTCCAGCGAGCAGCCGGTTTGTTGGAGCTTTATCTAATGCCGGGTTTGATCGACCAACTCTTCGCACAAGAGAGGGTTTTTTTATATATTTACAGCCACGAATCGAGCCCCAGAAGCTCTAAGGCAGCCCTGAAACAAATCTAAGCTGTGGTGAATATTCTGGAAGCACCAGAAGTCCATTGGGAAGGATGCAGCTTGTCTACCCAAAGCCACATCACAGGGACCACATCAAGCCCTGCTAATGGCAGGGGTGAGCACTCCCAGTCACACCAGCCATGGCAGCAGAAATACTTCATGACTTTGTGTCTTTTGTCTGGGGGTTGGAAAACACATGAAAACAGTTGGGCATCTCCACACCCTTACAGGGAGCACATCACCAGCACTCTCACTGGGAAGGTGGAGGCAGGTAACAAGTGAAGGACAGAGCTGAGAGCCCACATCTGTGTTTCAGCCACCAAACAACATCCTTCTTCCAGCCCCTCCTTGCCACAAAGCCAGGGAACAGCCATGTGTGCCGAGAGCTGATTGAGTGCCGGGTGTCTGTCAGATTTTCCAGCAGGCTGGGGTAGCTCCCTGCTCTCAGAGCCTTATCAAAACCCTCTTCCCCTCCTCTCCACCCACTGCCTTGGCAGATGCTCAGGGGTTTCCAGGCATGCCCCGTTTCACACCAACCCTGGTGCAGCACTGTAGGGATGAAGCTCTTCCCTCTCCCAAACAGAGATCAAGGGCAGCAGGGACTCTGGCTCTGGAGAGGACTCTGCTTTCATGCTCTACCTTTCAAATCTATTGTGGTACAGCTACACAGCCCAGGAAGGAGCAGGTATTTAGGGAGAAAATTCACCTACAGCTCTTGTCCCCTTTCCACCTGCAGCCACAGGTGTCCTCCCCAGCAGGAGGGACTTGGGCAGTGCCTCAGGGTTTCTGCAGCTTCAGAAAACAGGGAACAGCTCAACATGGCAGTTGTAGGTGTCTGCAGGTAGGGATGGCCCTGCATCCACCCAGGGGGCTGCACAGGGACACTGGTGGCAGGGACCTGGCTGTGGCTGGCACGTGGCCCCACCACATCGCACCTCTCCTGCAGGGCAGGGACCCGATCCCTCATTAAGGGATTACACCGTATTTACAGCAAATCGCTGCAGGGAGACAGGGCCAGAACAGCCCAACACCAATTAGGTGCTAACGAGTCTTCCTGATAATCTACTGGACACTTGTTCCTCAGTCCAACTGTAATTGCTGCTTTAGGGTCACCGACAGCAGCCAAGAGCCACAAAAACCCCTTTATCAGGAACACACATCAGTGGTTGCCGATTGCCAGGTCTGCAGGGGGTCTCTGCAGGGGAGCTCTGAGGGGCTCACTGGGAAGGCTCCTGGTGAGGCAGAAGGATGGGGAACCCACCCCCAGCCCAGACAAGCTTTGGAGGGTCACGGGAGGACAGAGGCCTGGAGAAGGGGGGTCACTGCTCTGCTGGCCCTGCACACAGGGCATGGGATCAGGGTGCTTCCACTGGTGGGCTGGAGCCTTCCTGAGGGGCAGGGGGGTGCGCCCATATCCCCCAAGCAGGGGTGAGGGGTGCTTTCCTTCCTCACTCATTATTTTGTTACCTCACTGCTGCTTTTCCCTCTCTGTGCCTGTCCAGCTCAGGATGCACCACCTGGCTCCCATGCTCCAATAACTCCTGTTGCTCTGACAGCTCCCCAAACCCTGCGCTAATGCTGATGGCAGATGACAGGCAGGGAAAGCAGGAGCTCCATTTTAGGGGGAAAGTCATCAAGTCTGTTTACTGTTTGTTGAGTCCCCTGTGTAAAGCCTCTGGGATCTCAAGCACTGATGCAGACACATGTCTGGAAACACACTTGCTCTCTCTGGAGCCTCTCCAGTACTGAGGAGCGGAGGAAAAAGGCTGGAGCAGTGACAACTGCTCTCAGCCGTGCCCACACATGAGCCACGGTGACTGAGATGGGGGTGACACTTGAAGGCTTTTTCACCACAGACAGGTCTCTCATGACAGTGCTATTCCCACGCAGCCCTGGCACTAGAGCTGCTGGAGCCACAGCAAGGGGCAGCAGAGCCCCTGGCAGTGGCAGAAACCACGTGCTGACGGCGCCAGAGCCCCGGCACAAGGAGCGAGGAGAGACATCAGTGACACCTCCTTGTGTAACCACAGCGCTGTTCCACGTGCCACGAATCACAGGCCTCCGAGGGGACCAGGACCACGGTCCTTCCCTGCACTCCTGGGGTCCAGCACTGCTGCCTGGGATCACGAGGGCTTTAACTAAGCTATTTTCCCTGCCGCTGCCAACAGCAGGGCCCCGGCCCTGCAATCCTCTCAGTGAGCTTTGCCTGCCTTGAACTAGATCAGGAGGCCAAGCCACTTCTCTGTCTGACAGATGGTAACTCAACCTAATCCATGAGCCCGGCCACTGCCCCGGCAGCAGTGGCAGCTGCTGAGGAAGCAGAGCCTGTGATTCCCCCTCAGGTGAGGAGCTCATGTCTCCTCAGCACTGCAAGAGCTCTGGACATCTTGCTCTTCCCCAGCTCTCCTCTGCAGAGTCCAGGGAGATGGTAACAGAGACAAACGCTGACACTTTGACTCCTGCAGCCCCAGCATGGGCACTGCCTGCCATGGCTGTGCCAGACCACCCAGGGATGGGGGATGCAGCGTGTGGGTCACTCTGTGCCCCGTGTGCTCAGCAAGGAAAGGGGTTCCAGCTCTGCTCAGCCTGCCTGCACCCTCACAGATCACAACTAAGAGCAAACCCCACTCTCTGCCTCCTCCTGGCCTGCTTCTTCCCCAGACTTGCTGGAAGATTCCCGGTCTGGAAGGAGTCTCAAAGTGGTTCACAACTTCCACCAGGAGCAAGTCGGTGGCATCAAACCACAACGAGCACTGCCCTGGGAGCGCCCCTGGGCCATCCCACACTGCTGCCCCCCTTCCAAGAGCAGCAGGACAGACCCTGAAGGCCCAGAGCAGATCCAGACACACATGTGCCCACACAACTTGCCCAGGAATTCTGAAGAGGCTGCTCACTGCCATTCAGCTCCTGCTGTGCTCCCCAGGAGCACCCTGATACCCAGCACACACAGGCTGCTCCGCTCACACTGCTTACATTCCATCCCTGAAAACGGCCTCCTTGCTTACTTCCACATCTATGCCTGTTTATCCAGTCAGAGCCTGGCCCCTGAGCCTCCAGAAGGAGAGGAAAGTGACTCAGTTGGTATCTCGTGGTCCCACCGACCTCTTGGCCAATCAAAGCAATTTGCGCCGTACGCGCACTACCAACTTGTGTGTGTAATTAGAAGAAAAACAGTGTAGTAACAATACCCAGCTGTGCCTGGAGCCCAACTGAGGTGGAGATCCCCCAACCCCAACACAGGAGTCTGCTCCCCGTACCCGCTGGCGGAGGGTCCTACCTTGGCCTTGCCCGTGCTCTGCAGGATGTGCACCAGCGCCGACGCCATCTCCTCCTTGTTCTTCACGCTCAGCGAGGGCTCCAGCACCGAGCACAGCACCATGTAATTGTTGGTGATGTACTCGGCAAACTCTTTGTACATCTCCATGGGGAGGATGCTCATGCTCTGGTAGCGGGATTTGATGCGGATCATGGGCCCCGGGGACTTGCCCTTGCCGGGGTTGGGGCTCACCACCGGGTACCATTTCTCGACGAACTGCCGGCCCGTGACGGAGCTGACGGGGATGTTCACCTGCCCGATGAAGTTGGTCTTGTCCTTCTTCTTCTTCTTGTCGGTCTCTTTGTACAAGTGCACCGTAATGTTTTTGAGCGATGGGAGGTTATTAAATTCAAAGTGCTCCCCCCAGAAGACATTATCAGTTTTCAATTTACAGGTAGTTCGTGCATAAAGAACATCGTCCAGGCATAATTCACACAAGTACTTTTTCTTAGCTGGCAGGTCCTTGGCTTCGATAATCCATAACTTTAACATATTCTCCACCCTTCTGCTGTTGTCCTGGGGGAAAAAAAAAAAAAAGATGCAAAATAAAAAAGGTCAATAAAAAAAACAACCACAAAGGCAAGCATAACAAAGCTGGAGATATGAGTTAATTATTTCGGATGTGCTAAATGAGCAGAGGCTTAATTACATTTTATTTTAAGGAAATACTGGCTCTCAGGAATTTGCATAATAACACTACTTATGTTAATTTTCCAAAATATCACCGTGCTCTCCATGTCTGTTGGTGCCAATTAATACAAGGAAGAAGGAAGATAAAACCCCTCCAAATCATATATGTACTGTTTCCCGTTCCCTGCCAAGAGGGCCTCCAAAGAAATGGAAAGAACCTCACTGATCATGACCGGCTTTTGCAAAGCAGAAGCTTTTACAGGCATCTCACAGCCCTGGAGTTCATCTGCTTTGGAACAGAGCAGCACAAAGGGACCTGAACGCACACTCAGGGATCACCTCATCCACATGGGAACACCAGCACTGCTGGCAGGGAAGAAACCATGTTTTAGGGCAGAAGTCCAGAGCACCCAACTAAAACTTTAGGAAGAATTATGGGAAGGGGAGTGAGCTCCAGGGGAGAATCACGACAATCCAGAAATAGAAATCTGCCTTGGATATCTTTTAAACAATAACAGAGCCAAGAATACCGGGGATCTTTCAGAGCTCCCTCGTGATGCTGACCTCATCCTGAAAGAACATCCAGGGGTATTTTTTGCAGGAGTGACTTGAGAGACAAAGCACTGGCAGCTGAACTGCTGCTGGGATTCTGCAAAACCTGTTTTGTTTGGAAACCCCTCACTGAAACAGCAGGCACGGCTTACTCCGCTCAGCCCAGGAGTCTGGGCAGGAACACTCCTGCTGGAAGTCCACAATGGAGTACTGTAGGTTCAGGAAGTGCACACAGGAACTGCACAAGAACACTGAATTCCTGACAGAAATTTCAAGTCAGATACTGAGAGTTTATTGTGTATGAACTCAAACAAAGATGGAAAGAGAGCCATCAGTTACTGAATGTTTTGAGATGAGGGCACACTTCCAAATGGATTTCCACTCAACACTGCACCTCAAAGCCATAGTGACATGCACAGCCTCAACTCATTCCCAGGACCTCTCTCCTGCTGAGTGTGACCACACAAACCTCACACAGCTCTCTCAGGTCAGTCCTGCCAGGGCTGCTGCCCTCAGAGAGCACTGGAGCCACTGAACTCCACATCCAGGAACACACTGCCAGAGGCAGAGGCTCCCCTCTCCCCTGCCCCCTCCACTGCTCCAGCTCTCATCCTGAAGCAAATCTTTTATCCTGACATTTGGCACTGTGCTGGCAACAACAAACTCCCAAGACTGAGGGTCCTTTAGAACCCACCAGGCCTGGGCTGAACTTGTGTGGAATGAGTTCCCAGATCACTTCACTTGTGTCTTCTCTGACCAGCACAAAAAGACGTGGCTGAGCTCATCAGCTGTGGAACCTGCACTAGTCCTGACCAACCTTTGCAGCCAGCTCCAGTGCAGAGAGGGGGAAGCAGCTGTCCATTTTATGTGAGGATGTACTCAGTGGGCCATAAAAGCTCATATGGAGTGTCCCTGTGTTGCAGTGAAGAGAAAGATTTGTTCCTGTAAATCCCAGAGTAGGTGACTTTGCACCTCAACTGGCTGGAGAAGGGAAAGCCACATTCTACTACTGCCTCCAAAACTCACTGTAATGGGCACCTGAGTTCCTCCATCTCTGAAGCAGACACTGTGTCAGGAACTGACTTGTGAACTCTTTGGACTGTTCAGTCTTGTAACTTTGCTGGCAGCTACCTGACATCTGCCCTGGAGCTTCGGAGAGGTGAAAGTCCTGTGCAAGTGGCAAGTACCATCACTGACAGAGCAACACTGAAGATTCTTCAGGTCTGATCAATTCTTAGCAACAGCTGAAGCAGCATGTGCAGAGAAAAGAGGGGAGGAAATAATTGGCACTTGCCTGTAAATATAATTGTGGGAGAAGGCAATATGGAAAAAGGCTGACCCAGAGTTACACTTCCTCGGTGCAATGACAATACGTCCCCTGCTGCTCCCATGCACTGGGCTATAAAATGTAATAACGAGGAACTGAACTAGAACAGAGGCAATTCCTCACAGCCACTACCTTATTTGGGTGCACGGCACGCCGCAGGTTTTCCATCCATTTATCTCGCTCTGCTGCAGAACGACACGAGAAGCACTTACTTCCTGATGAAGTCGTCACCTACAGGGAAAGGAACAGGATTATGTCTTGACCAGCACACTGCAGACCACGGTTTGGGGGGAGAGAGGGACTCAGGGAAGATGCTAGTGGATTTTATTTTATTTTTTTTTTAAAGTAAACAGCTTTACCCGAGCATGAAGCAACAGCCCCTAAGGCTGGCAGAAAAACAGGACAGCTCTGTGTGTTACAGAAATAATCATGGACACAAATTCCAATTACTTCTCCTCTTCCACACCAGAAAACACTAGATAATGGGCCTCATGCATGTGATGCTTTAAACCACCAAGTTCCACAGCTGAGGGAGTGCAAATCCTTAGATGAACTAAAGATAAATTGGAATACCGAGTGGATACCTGGCATTCCTCCAGGCCCAGCCCAAAGGCTGTGACAGTAACGACCCACTCCTTGTTTCCAGCAGAACATGAGGCCCAGAAAGGCTGGTTCCCACCTTCCCCCTTGGTGCCTTGTTGCTTCTGGAGCCCGTGCTGAGAAGAACACGGGGACAGGAACACACAGTCCAGTCCTGGCCATGGTATGAGCCCATACCAGCTCAGACCTCCAGAACTGTGGTGGTCATTCCAGGTGGTCATGGGGCCCTTTGCATTCACTGCTTTTGTGCAGCTACGTTCTCCACGCACAGCTCTGCTGGGAGGCCAAGTGGACCTGGCTGGTGCTTTAAATAACTCCCCTCTGAGCTTCATTTCCGCCAGTCTCAACCTGCAGAGTTATTTCTGAGTGCTTTATCATCTCGCAGTGTTTGTGTTTACACACTGTGCACTGGGTTATCAGCTTCTGGGAGACACAATCTCCTTTAATTTCATGTATCTCCCAGAAGCCCAACCTGTTCTTAACAGCAGAGCTGGCACCCGCTAAGATTTGTCATTAGCAAACCTCAATGATAAGTTGAACACATCCCTTCCTTTGAACACAAGACATCTAACCAGGACAGAATGAGAAGAGGCCTGGCCTGCCTTTACATAAAAACCACCAGAAATCTTCCAACCCTTGATGTTCCAGAGGCTTTCTCCTTCAGACAGACACTCTTCCCTGTCCTTACATGATTTATACTCTGCCTGTAAAATAGACTCTTCTGAGCACAGGCTCTCTTGTGGTTCCAGGAACAGATTCCATATTAGCAGGCACAGCAGCGTGATCTTTCCAGCACCCTTCTGTGCTTCCAAGTATTTCCAGCTTCTTCAAAGTCTCCCACTCCAAACCCACCCTGCTTCATCCCCTCGCTGCTGCCGATGCCCACGGGAACCTCCATCGCCCAGCGTTCCCACACGGAGTTCTGCTGGCACGCAGGATGTCCCACTTGCCAGACCGTGTCTCTGCCATGTGATCCCCATCCCCTGCTCTGCCAGAGGGTCGGGCAGTCCCGCATCCTGACGCTTCCCTCAGGAAGGGTTCCCACAGGTGACAGGCAGTGAGGCCCATGGAGCAGGGGCGCACGGCTGCATCGCTGCTGACACGGTGCTGGGCTGGCTCAGCGCTGAATTACAAACATCAACATCCCAGAAGAAACACTTGGCAACAGTCTTAAGACCAGAACTGAAGCAAGCGCTGCTCCAGGCAGCTCCCAACCTGCTCGATCGATGGGAATTTCTAGGACTTCAAAGGAATTCTTCAGACACCAACCACACAAATCGGAACTTGAGCCCTGTCTTACTCAGCTAAATCAGCTGCAGAAGACTCAAAATCATCCATGTTCAAGCCCAAACCATCCAAGTCCTGACACTCCTGGTGCAGCCACAGTGCCCTGCAGGTGTCAGAGCCAAGTTCCTGTACCCCCCAGTGGGGAAAACCCTTGAGGCCACTGACGTTCCAACCAAGGCCATGGAACTGCATCCCCACCAATCACTCAGAAATTAGTTTATAACAGAGGTGGAACAGGTCAAACACACCTTTCAGTAAACGGTATCATTAGCCCCTTGCCATTTCTCACCCCGCTTTTTGTTTAGCTCTTTGGCTTTGATGGAGTTTGGTGTACAAATGCACTTGAAAATGTTCTCAGATCTAGAGGATTTTGTTGCAAACCTGGGAGCCCGTCCATGAAGGAGAATTAAGATTTCTTTGGCTGGTGTTGAAAGATGCTCTCTTAAAGACAAGTTCTCCTTGGTGACACACATGGATCCCAGATCTGCACAGACGATGTAGAGCATCATATCCAAATAAATAAATAACCATGTAATCCAGCTGTCCTTTTACTGAATCTTCATTCAAGATCAGTTTTTTACCAACTATCTGTGAAGTTGGATATCTAATATATTTTCTTGCCACACTTAAGTCAACACATGAGTTATCATGGCAAAATTAATTATTCAGTTTTGAAATAATTATCAATTAATTAATCACTCAAAACCTAAAAAAACCTGTAACTGTCACACTGAAGTGAGAGAAGGGGAAATCATGTGTCAGATACAAAGTGTGTCTTGATCTGATGGAAGCTGAAGGTCATATCTACCATGTGTGACCAAAAATGTAATTTTCCCCAGATCTGCAATCACACCCCAGCTTTGAGTTCTGACCTAAATATCATATGGCATTAATGATCTTTATGAGATATTAATTATCTTTATAAAGAGAGTATTCTGGTCTCATCAAGATTTTGGAAATGCTAGAATACTGTTAATGTACAGGATAAACTCAATTAATAAAACTCATTAATTTCTGAAATGTTACTTATTCCCATTCATTATCCCCATCCTCAGATGGGTGATCTCCTCACTCAGATAAAATCTTGCCATTTTAAGGAAGTTTTGGTACAGGGTGGGTTCCTCCCTTGAAGGCATCTCCACGGAGTAACTGGAGATGGTAACTGAGCCCCCAGAGCTGCTTCCCTCAGTGTGCAGAGGATTTCCTGAGGACAAGCCGTGGCTCAGCTGCTCTGCACCCCCTGACCTGGTGCCCAGGGGCTCCAGCGCTGCCCTCGCCGGCCCCGCGGCCGAAGGGCCCCGCGAGCGACGGCCAACATTTGCACAGCTGGATCCAATCAGTGCAGCTGAATTTAGCTGCACCACACTGTCCCTGGCTGAGGCAGGGCCAGGATGAGGCAACACGGCCTCGGCCGTGCCGGAGGAACCGCAGTTTGTCTTTCTCCCACTGTGCCCCGGGACAGCTCAGGCACGAGCTGTGCAGCGGGGCAAGGCTTCGGTCTGCCAAGAGAGCCCCTCGGTCCTCAGTGCCCTGCCCGGCCCAGGACCCCACAAATAGCAGGGCCAGGAATAGGCTCTGTAAGCCTGGACTCTGAGTCTCCATTACTGGATAAGATGCCCACGGTATATTTAGCACACGCAGCATGTGCAGTGCCACGGGATGATTTGCTGACTGGGGAGTCTTAAAAGGAGAAAGAAGATGATGCTGAGTAATTTAAAAAAAAAAAAAAAAAATCAATGAAGAAAACAAGTAAATACTGACTGCCAAGTACTGAGCAAGTCAGGAAAAAAGCAAGTTTCACAAAACTAAGCAGAAAAAGCTGAATGCAGCCCGTGGAAAAGCCCTGCACTGCTGCTGAGTGTCCATCCCAGCAGAGCCCAGCCCGTCTTGATGCAGGTCGTGGAGCTAGAGGAGAGGAACAATTCCCTGCACCTTCATCCACCAGCTGCCTCCCAACAAGCCACTTGGTTGTTTTCCACTGCAGATGGCTTTGGCACCTCTCTCTTTTGTCTCCGTCTGGGTGAGCTGCCAGTTCCCTCTCAAACCCGCTCTCTTCCATCTGCAGCCATGTCAGACCGTGCTGTCCCTCCCGGGCCACGAGGCTGCTCCGGTGGTGTGGAGCAGGAAAAGCTGTGTCACACTGTGCCACACACTGGTGGGAACCGATGGACCAACCAGCTGGGGATGGAAACGGCTCCTGAGGCACCGTCCCCTCTGCCTCTTCCTGATGGATCTCCACAAAGAGCAGATCCACAGCAGCCTCGGTGGCCATGCCCGAAGGCAGTGTCTTCTCTTTGTATCTACCAGTGGTACCCACGTGCTTGGCAGACTGTGCTCTAGGCCTGGCACCCACCAGGGGTCCCAGGAGATCTGCAAACTCATCCCAGCGCTGACCTCAGTCCCAGTTTGGAGGGGGCTCTCTGGAGACACGAGGCACTGACACAATGTGCCATTTAGCTCTCACCTCGGTCCCTCCCACTGGAGCTTGCTGGTGAGCAGCCACCAGTCACAAATCAATGTCCTTTTTGTTTCCTGGCACTCTTCCTCCCCTCTGCAGGGTTTGCAGGACAGCAATTAACACGTTCTTTTTTTCTGTGTGACTCCTCTTCATCCAACCCACTTACAACCAAAATTTTCTTCCTCCTCACAGGTGCACGAATTGTGCAATTTCCCTCTCAGTCAACTTTCTACAAGTACTGTTCACATCCCTTCCTCTGCTCCTGTGTGCTGCACAGAATTGGTAAACAACTCTTATATTATGGATGTCACATCTATTTTCCATCTAGCTTCATTTTATCTTTCTTGAGTGGAATGTAATAGAGGCCATATAATTTACAAAACTGTTCTCCTCCTGACCCACCACACTTGTTCAATTCCTCAGAGAATGAACAGCACTGGAAAATTTATACCTCAGCCCACTCCAGAGTTTGTGTTTGGGGCTATTTTTTGTAAGACTGTTTTCGTGTTACCTGCCTTTCATTTTAAGAAATGGATCTTCTAACTCATTTCTTTCAAAGTGTGCTAACTTCAATAAAGAAAAAGTATTTATCTCCCCAGTCTGACTCCTCTTGGACACGGACAAGGTGTTTTTACCCAGCACTGCCCATCCAAGGACAGCCTGCAGTCACGTCCTACAGCACAGTCCAAGCATGGATTTCACATTTATCTGCTTTTCTATGCCCAAGCACAAACAGGTTCCCTTCTCTTCACAGAAACACAAGTATCGACCACCTTATTACTGTAAGAAAACCATTTCCCTGTTCTGTATCCAGCCACTGCCATAAGCAATAATACTTTGCCATCCACAATTCAGGACAAATGATTCCCAAGACATACTACATTGAATTATCCAACTACAGCCCGGTTTGTACGTGCCCTCCTCCCTGCCGCCAGCACAGACCTAACCACATGCCATAACAGATGTCAAAATAATCTGAAATACTCACAGATTTTTCTATTTACCCAAACAAGTGAAGCTCCAGTTTTCTAGACAAAGTCCTCAACACTCCCACTGACAGCAGTGGGTTGGCTCTGTGACCACATCTGATGTCGCTGGGAACACTGAGAAGGGATTGTTAGCACTTCTCAGTATCTGTATGAACACAAACTACAAAGGCACGCTCTGCTGAAACGCAGCCCCAAGCAGGGCAGCACCTGTGCCAGCGGGAAGCTCCGCTGCGACACGGCTCACAAGGAGCTCGTTGCTCTGATTGTGTGGATATGATCCTCCTTGAAAAGATGGGAGTCATTTTCTGCCTACGAAATGGTCTCTGCGTGGCAATTCGGAGCAGAAATGTTGTGTAACAGCGAGGGCCCCAGATGCCAGCGCACACCTGGCCCCCCTGGCAGCCCCAGCAGGGCCTGACGGCTCCTTACCTCAAAGCAGTAGTCTTGTCCCAGGATGCTACTGTGGACTGGCTTGATGACCACCTCCTCCTCCATACTGAGATCCAGAGCCTCAACAGCACTACTGGGACTGAGCAAGGACTCGTGGGAGCGCGATTCTTTCAGCCTCGGCATTAGATGGGATCTGGAGGAGAAAGGGAACGCTGTCAGTGGATGCTCTGCTTCCCAGAGAAACTGTTCAGTCCATCTGTTAGCAACAACTGCACAATGTTCCTGGGACTTTTTTTGCCGTGAAATAACCCAGGGCCCTGAAGAACAGGGCCTGCTCCACTGTCTCATTTGTAATTTCTATTACAGGCTGTATGAGCAGTAAAACATTTTTTCCCCCCAGCTCTGATGCAGTCAGGACTCAGTTATTAGAGGTTTGTAGGCTGTGGGTCTCTGCTCAGCTGAGTTAAGTCTCTAAATGGCCACCACACCTGCTCAGTGAGACTTTCCAGGTGTGGGTACAGCAGGGAGAGCAGCTGGCCCCAGCACCCACTGCGGTCTCATCGGCACCACCAGGCCCTGCAGCCCCTGCTGCTGAGCTCCCATGGTCCCAGAACCTCACCACCTGCACCCCGGACACACAGCCAGCGCTGGGATCCGCTCTGTAACCAACAACCCCAGGGCTCGTGTGCTCTCTCCGATGGTTACACACATCCCGGGATGGGGACAGGGTGGAAAATAAGGCCATGATAGCCCTATCGACTGATGTAAATGCTCTGGAGTCCCACTGGCAGCATTTAGCAGCGGGGAGCCCACAGACAGCGAGCAGAGCACCATTTTTGAGACAGCCAATACAATCAATGGTGCTGTAACTCTTAAAGCAAAACCAGAGAGCTCAAGGGGGAGAAAGAAAAAAAAAAAAAGAAAAAAAAAAAGAAAAGGAAGATAATTAAGTAGTCCCAGGGAAAACACAGCAAAACCAGGAAGTGGCAAGGGAAAAAATAGCTTGAGAGAAAAAGGGAGCAGCTGCTTTTTGTATGGCTTGCACCATGTCAAATGTTCCTACGCCAAAGCTCCGATCCTGGTAACTCTGACCTTTAAAACCCCTGGCAGGCACTTTAGGGGCTTCCAAAGAGACCAAGCGTCCCTGTCTACAAAGAGAGCGTGACGCCTTCTCCAAAGGCATGGAAGGACAGCAATAAGAGGACTCTGTGATATTCTCAGCGTGGTTTTTCATGAGCAAAACAACAATGCTCCCAGTATACTCCCGGATTGCTCTGCTCTGTGTGTTGAGTTCTGTTGTTCTCCAGAATAAAACTGACCAAAGCAGAGAGAAATGTCAACAGTGCATGCAAAATTCATCGCTTCCAGTGAATGACACGCCAGGCTGAATCTAGAAAACAGCCCAAGGAGATTCTAAGATAAAGGGCAGCAGAAGATAAACAGGTGCCTCTCCAGGTTTGCCATTAAGATTCAGGCCATGGATGAAGCCCCAGGTGCTGACAGAACTGCCTGCAGCTGGTTCTCTGGCTCAGCATGTTAAATGGGCAGCTCTGAGTGCCAGGGGCCACCCTCCTGGCCAGCAGCACCGCAGGACACCCAGCCTGGGGACACACTGCCCGAGGGCTCGGGGACAGCACCGTCCCCAGACACCCTCCGAGGCGCCAGCCACGACCAGCTGTGGTGGTACCTGCAGAACATCTGCAGCACAACCAACACCACCTCTTTCTGCAGGGACAACCCCCAGCCCTCAGGCATTAAAAGCCCGGGGTTGGCAGAGCCCTGTGCTGGATCAGGAGCCGCAGCTTCCCAGCAAAGGCTCTCTATGCCATTAGCGATTCTCTCAACTGCCCACTCACCCCGCATCTCTATGGTGAATAAATTGATCTTTAGGAACCCAGCACAGTCATTTCCCAGTACTTTGTGGCAATTTTACACTATTTTCACAGAAAAGGGTCCCTCTCCTTTTCCTCTGAATGGTACTGTAAATTAACTCTAATACAGGCAGACAGATCAAGTTACCTCAGGATGCTGAGTGCAGAACCAATATCCAGCAGCTCAAGAACTGACAATACAGACTGCTCCCCCAGTCCAGATAAGCCCTGAATCGAGGTATTTATGGTAAATCTTATTTCCATATTTTTGAGGATGAAATTAGAAAAGGTAGATAACCAAGCTGCAGTTGGTTATTTACTTGCATTCTTGTGTAGATAAATATAAATACTGATAATCTAAACCCACGGCTCAGGACTACATGCTCTCACACACACACACACATGTACATCACTGAACTGCACTGCTTCACGCTGGCCTAAGAATTTTTGTTAAAATTAAAACAAATCAAATCTATTTTTCATTTAAAACTACTGCAGCTGCAAGGCCACGGGTGGGAATGCAGATGTTCAGCACGAAGGATTACCAGGGGGGGAGATTCTCAGGACATATTATGCTCTCACCAGATTCAGCAAATGTGTATTTATATCCCTCCACGCTCTGCTGGTGCCTCTGGGAATCCTGAAACTAACAGGACTCTTTTAGGGAGGTTTTTTGTCAGGTTCCTGCCTCGGCAGGACCTGCTCCCCCAGCGTCTCCCCACTCCTGAGCGGCCGATCGGATCCGACCCAGGTCAGCAGCAGACACATTTCTCACCAGATGCTGCTCTGTGCAGAGGGAGCGCTGCAGGTCTCAAACCAGCCCTAAAAACCCAGCATCTGTCTCTGCATCAAGAGCTAAGTGGGGAGATGTCATTAATTAGAGACTCTCACTGGAAATCTTGGTGGCAGGGACGAGGGATCTCTGCCAGCTCAGCCCCGCTGAGCAGGATGAGCAGAGCCCCCTCCCAAGGTTCTGTCCTATCCCATCCCCCAGAGCTGGCCCCAACACTACTGACTTCAGCCAGAGCAGCCCAGCACAGTCTGGGGTGGGCTGCAAACACCCTGCAGAGGGGTTACACAGCACCTGCCTTCAAAGGTCCTTGCACTTTATTACCTGTTCCAGCACAGAGAGCCCTCATGTCCCTCGGTGACATGGCATTTGCAGCAGGAGCCCATTTACTGGAACCCACAGACTTCCCTTTGTAGAGGGAGAGGCCATAAGCTGCTTTCCTGACTCCAAGAGCAGCATCCATAGCGACAGGGATACCAGAGTCCCTGCAAACCTGTGCTCCCCATTAGCCATCCTGCTCCCGAACAGTCCAACACAGCCGGAACACCATTTGCCTACGGTGAACACACAGCGACAGAGGTACTTGGTTCAAATTCATGTCCCTGCCATCACTGTTCAAGACACTGCCTGTGGGGCCATCCAATCTCCTGCTCCAATAACTCCCTGTGCATTCCAGGTCCCGTCCTGGTTTACGTCAGCTGATCTAATTCCAATCCTACACCTTTGTTTTAATATGGTGGGAACGGCCAGCTGCCCAGAGCCATCTCACAGCAGGAAACCCTCTTTCCAAACAGCACATTCTGTTCTTTTTGCCAAGGGCCCTTTTTAAATCCCTTTCTACTCGCCTAAAGTTCAGTAGAAATGAAGGGGGGAGGAAAAAAAAAATCTCATAAAAGACCACATTAGTTCTAAAGAGAAATAACATTACTGCTACTGGCACTGACCTGGCGAGTCCTACAGAGCAGCAGCCACTCTCTGGTTATTAAAGAAAGAGCTTTGCTGCCCAAGAGCAATGAGAGAGGATTGTTGTGCTAAATAATAAAGTCATAAAACATTACCATGTGAAGAGATGTATCCCCTCTGCCTGCACCCTCCACAGCCAGGCTGTGACAGCACACCCAATCCAACCAGGGAAGATTTCATGGAGGGACAATCCATCCTCTCCTCATACAACTCCAGTGCTGGGTTTTGAGCAATGGAGGCAGCAAACAGGGCCTCAAAGAGACAACCCTACTGGTTCTCATTTCACAGCCTCACCTGCCTGGAACCACCCAGCTGCTGCTCCCAGGGTTTTATGATGAAAACGTTCCTGGCTATTTTCGAGAGACAGAAACAAACAGGGAATCTGGCTGGCTAGCTGCAGAGGGACGGAGCAGACACAAAATGTAACACTGAAACAAGAGGAAAAAACATAAAGAGCCTTTCTCAAATCTCCTCCTGTTCTGCTCTGAGAGCACGAGCAGGTTGGGGAATTCTGAAGGAGGTCCAGGCACTAAGCTGAAGGTGTCCCACTAACACCAGCTGCAGAGCCAGCAGTGTGAGTGCCTCCCCAGTGTCAGAGGGATCTGATCTCCTAAATTACAGGTTTAACTCTGTGACACGTCTCCTGGGCAGGAAAGGTTCCCTGTGTGCAGCTTTTTGAGGCTGGCAGTTCTTTTCTGTGGCCAGCTGGGAGCAGGTTCCTTAGGGCAGCCCTGTCCCTCTGCCCATGACATGCCCACTGCAGGGGGTGCTCCGTGCCCAAATGCAGCAGCACAGACTGCCAGATCCACGCGCAGCATCGACAGAATTTAAATCTGTCTCCAGCCCAGGGATTAGGGGTTTGTTATGACTGAGAACAAAGTGCACAACTCCAGTAAATTGATTTGCAACATCAGATGGGAGAAGGATTTCAGCAGCCACAGATGGGAGTAAATCACCCGCCACCCTGCTGGGGCAGCCAGGGAGCTCTGCCCTGTGCCTGCTGTCCCACCTGAGCCTCGCTGCTGCTGGTTCACACTGGGAATATGCTCTGCAGAGCCCAGACTGCTCCCATGGCTGCACTGCTTCCCACTCTCCTCCACAGCAGCTCTCCCCAAGGCTCAGCAGCAGCGCCCAGTGCTGACTTCCCGCTGACCTCCCGACCACTGCTGGGAGTTCTCATCCCTTCCTCCCCTGTGCCCCATCCTGCTTCAACCTAACAAATAAATACAAAAGTGATGTTATGGGAATAACCACGGACAACAGCACAAGAGAACTTGCATGCTTCCAGAAGATGAAGCTTGGTTTTTTTTTTTTCCTGTAGGAGAGGAGGTGGGGATGAAGTCTCAGCACGCAGCAGCACATCCTTCTCCATGTTTTGCTGCCCTGAACTTTCTCCTGCTGTTTCCTGAAGTCCAGCTGCTGATCTCTGCCTGGGAAACACTGCTCAGCACACTCTAGATGGGAACCTGGCGTTATAGGTTACCCTTACTAATGCAACACCTTCCCTGAGCAACACAAAGGACATGTAATTAAACTCATTAATGCCTGCCCTTGTTTTTAGACTGTTCT